TTAAAAAATGCATTTGGTCTTAAAATTATACCCAATTCAGGGCGTGGCCACTTTGAGTGAAAGTTTGGTATCAGCACAGTTAATAGGCGGCAAAGTTATTAGGGTTCATCATTTGCATAGCGTAAATTAAAAATCAGGGCAATTCATTATACAGTTGCTGAGATATTTCAAGGACCAAAGTGGCAGACTGACAAACTCCGGCTTCCCTACAGCCACTTCTCTGGTGTCGCTACAGATGAAGATCAAGAATCTGAACACTTTTTTGAAGTTGTTAAGTTAATGAGTTAGTCAGTGACTCTGCTGGCTCAAGGAGTTTTTGTTTGAGGTTCTACATCAAAATGAGTTTGATTTAAATTAAAAGCTTAAAGCTACGGATCAGAGCCATGTTACCGCCACTGAGTTATTTCAGGACTCGCTGTCTGTATGCGTCTCTGTATGACATCATCGTCACTACAGTCATCACATGCTGCTGTTCAGCTTCTTGAAATTCACAGAACCAAATTAAAACCTGAGAAAGAATGCACAGCATTATTTTAAAGTGGATCTTCACTTTAATATGCTCCACTGTGATAACGGACAACATGTGACGCTGAATCATTCACAAAGAGTGATCAAGGCGATCTGATTGTACCTCCTGCACTCATTCAAGAACCATGGAGGCTATGGTTCACTGCAGCAGATTGTAATGCTCGGAGAAAAAGGCTGCAGAGTGCAGACAGTCATTAACATTCACAGGAGAGGAAGAGGAGGAGGGAGGAGGAGGAGGTGGTGACACAATGCACCATACAAGTTCAAAGAAATACTGTAGCAGACAGACAAAAAAAAACAACCTTCAAGTTCCAACTCCAAGTAGTTATCCAGCCATATGTTACAGAAGTAGGTGAGCTTGAGCCTGAAGAATAACTGGCATAATATGTTTGTTTCTGTGTAGAGGCACATGTTGCTAAAACCTAGAAGCTGTTATGTAACTAAAAGACGTTGAAAATTCAACAAAATATGTATGGTCTCTTCATATTTATGACCTACTGAAATGATAGCCAGCCAGTAGCCAGGTGGGAACAGCCCTGGTATGAAACTGCCAAGAAGATTTATCATCCTCATCTGGCAGCCGTCGCACCTTGCAGCTCCGCCGGGTCACCTCCTATGACATTACATCCTGGTGCCAGGCACACATTGCCCCTAACAGGGCCGTAAAAGAGGGTTTATTAGAAACCCTGTGGGTCTCTTATAGGGATGAAATACCTTTTCCATCCTCCCCTCTTTTAAGAATACCCTGTTGACCACCAAATTATCTTCCCTCTGCATCTGTATTTTGATTGCTTTTTCCACTCTGTTGGATTTCATACTCATGTTTTTCCAAATCAATGTGTTATTTTTTATTTAGCCAACTTTTCTGAAATGCACAGCAGGAGCCTCTTTGCTCCCAGAGACAACCATTACCTTATCATTACTGTACCACACACTGAGTAATTTGCCGGGCAAAGCCCTCCCACGCATCTCATAAGTCAAGTAAGGTTTCAGAGACGAGCAAGAGCTCACCACAGCAGCAAGATCTCTGCTGTCTAGGAGGCATTTCAATAATTAACTTGAAGGCTGATTTTATACAATTCAACTGACACAACTGAGAACAAGTAGAATTCATCTCTTGTCATGTGTATGATGTCTACCTGCTGCAGAAGTTAGAAGACAAGTGTCACCTTTGAATCACTGACTTTCCGAGCTGCTGTGAATGAGGAGGTGGAGCAGTTCGCCGTTTTGTGGTAAATGTCTCCAGTTGAGCCTAGACCCCAGGCCGTAAGACTCTAATTGCTTTCCTGCCGTCCCGGGCTGGATGCAGCGTATCATGTGACACTTTTCTCTCTTTCTTCCTCCGTATACAGCCTCACCCCCTTGACTCTTTCCTCACCCCTGCCCCGAGGCTCCGACTCATATGATCCAGCTTACACAAGGTGAACACACACGGCCATATGCGCAAATTTACATCAGCAGACACCGATCAACTGACCGTGGCCCCTCCGATCTCAGCATGTCAACGATTTTCACCGTTGGGGGATTACTTCACATTTTCTTTCTCACAAATCACACCTCAGAGTCTTGGGATGAAGTGGTGTGGTGAATTAATGATCTATTCTCGTTTCCCTAATGTCTCCTTAAAACAGGGCACAGTGTTAACGGCGGGTTTTGCTCAGGAAAAACATTTCCCTCTCTCTGGCACTGACCGATAACCCCGTCACATTCTGCTGAAAGTGGATACTTACATCCTGCAGCAGAAGCACATTGCAGTGGATTTTTCCTTTTAATTAACCCAGTAATTTAAACAGTGAGTACGCTAATACCTCACGTCTCTACCTATATTTTCTAGGGCACAGCAGTTTTCTAATTAGCAGCCTAATGAGCTGATTGTTTATTTGCTTCATCTACGCGGCTGATGACAATACATTCCTCATCCGGGCTCACAGTCAATCAAGCCTCTCTCTGTTTCTCATTGGTATGCTACTCTGAAAGCTGCTGAGCACTTAACCAAGCCAAAATGCGATGCATTATTTACACATGTAGCCTGTCCTCAGCTATGTGTGTGTGCCGGTGGGAGAACAGAGGAGGAGTATGAAAAAGTGAGTAATGAATATTAAATGCATAAGCAGCGTTGTGAAGGCTTTAGAGTTCATTGTAACAGCCTGAGAGCAGTGACTTAGCCAGGTCTTGAACTGAAGTGGAGAGCTTTCAGGATCACATTCCCTGTTGCATGCAAATCTGCTATTGACTCATTTCACTTATACATATTAATAAAGTAGCTCTTTACCGTTTATTGGCCTGGAAGTGTTGATCTACTTACAGACATCTTGCAGAAGTTTCCAATTTAAAGTTTTATTAAACCGTTCACTCCTTATATCGTGTGTTGAGGAAAAAATGGAAATTAGGTGAAGTGATTTTCATTCATAACCATTCTATAATGGCAAACCATAAACTCATAATTACTGCCACTTCTTCTGGAACGTTTGTCGCAGTCCCATCGGTGAAGTATACCGACTCATCGCTGGACAGATCCCAGGATCGTCCCTGACCTTTAGAAGTCAAAGTGGCTGTCTGAAAATTTCCTGGGTGCAGTCATACGTCTAATCCGTTGAAGAATGCAAACCGCTACAGCATATTGTATTTTGAACTCGACCATGTATTAACAAAATGAACTACTCTGCACAGGTTGCCAGAGATTTCCCTCATTTTCTCGACTAAGACGGAAGAAATACGCGACAAGATGATTTAAAAATAGAAGAAAACAGAAGCCCGATCAAGATAAATGGCACATAATGATATAATTCATCACCATAATGTTTAAAAATAGCCTGTAATGTCACCGTGTACATTAATGAGCCCAACGAAAGGAGAACATTTTGTAACGACGTCGCCATGTGACATATGTATTCATTAATATGAAATTTATATCTTCAAAACATGAATTCATAGTCATCTCAAGAAAATGCTTAGTTCTTCATTAAAATGTAAATTTATTCCAGCAGCAGCCTCTTCCATAGTGGAAGCCTGACAATGCAGCGTTTTGATAATGCATTGCACAACACAGATTGTCCACTATAAAAACATAATGACATGTGTAATCGAGGTGGGAGACAGAAGAGGAAGTCAGAAGCAGACTTAGAAGTACTTCTGCTCTATAAATCGTTAAGGTGAAGTCTAATAAAGCCTGTGTGTTTAGCAGTGATAAAAGGTCCTGTGTCAGTTTTATTATGGTACCAGTGTGGAGGGGAACAAGTCTCGCTACCTGTGGATCTGTCCATTCTTGTGTAGGTACTCCAGGCCCTCGAGCACGTCTTTCAACACGGTGGCTATGCTGGCCTCGTCCAGGACGCCCGTCTTGTGCTCGCCTCGCGAGATGATATGCTTGATCACATCCAGCACTGAGCCTGGAAAACAAACAAACCTGGTTGATAAAAAGGCTAGACTTACAACATCATTCTTTTATCTATGCTAAAAAAGTACATTTGTGATTGTCAACAGCAGACAGTCAGACAGAAAAGCAAACCCATCCCCCCCAAAAAAGGCCAATGAAACAATTTTTTCTGGTTGCAACTGATGACAACATGACTCTCAACAAAAACACATTTATGAAAACGCATACTTCCCGTTGGATTGGCAGATATTCAGTTAAGTTAATTCATGTATAATCTTATATTGTTTGGGTAAATTAGATTTTGAGGACACAAGGACCATTTTTTTCCCAGTTCCAGTAAAAAAACAACAAAAAAAAGGATTTTATTGAAAATCCAAATGATTTAGTTGTGTCAAGTCAGAAAGTCCTAACCCGTAAACAGCAGCGTGACCTTTAAACTCGGCCATGGCAAAACAAACCAATCACGGAGGGAGACGAGACAGAGCATTCATTACCATACATTTTAAAGGGTAAAGCCACTCGCTGAAACAAATTTATGCCGTGCAATCTATGATTTTTAAGTCTGAAGGAGAAAAAAGCATCGGCACCTGAACTTATGACATTTTTTGGTCTACTAACTTTAATGTAGAGTGTAGAGACACACACAAAGTTTGTTTGTGATTTTTCATGCAAATGAGCTCCATCTGAATGTTGAATTCAAAGCTTATAGTCACAAAATGTGCAGAGTTAAAATCACCATGGCTACTGTCAGAGACACTCTATTATTTGCTGTCTATAGCTCCAGGATTTAACTCTTAATCATATCGTCATTACAGTCTGCCTCGCTGCAGCTCACTTTAACTTGTTCAAATTCATTATTTAGGCGCGAATCAGACTTTAATGACGTTGCAACAGAGCAGAAATCTGCTCCACACTAAGTGTGCAGGTTAATATTTGAGGGTATAAGTCAAACAGTTGCTTTTGTCTTCGCTAAATGGAGAACCAGTGCAGCTCTGCTAACTGACCTGGCCTGGTTAGGGCTAAAAAAGACAGGTCGCCATGTCTCCCACAGCCTGGCTCCTGCTGCATAAAGGAGTGCTCTGGCTGAAAAGTCAGACTGCTGTCGGTGTATGATTTCCTTTGTGCGACTTTCCACAGAATAAAGAACATCTCTCTGAAAAGAGGTTCAGTATTTGCATTCGGTATGACACAAAATTGGACAACACTGGTGAATGGGGACAAAGCAGAGGAGCCAAAAGAGTGTCACTTGCCTGACAAGCTTTATTGTGCTGCAGTGATACACCAACACAAACATCACTCTGGCACACTGTCTGTCTGTCCCTGCCTCTCTAACACACACACACACACACACACCCAACCTCAGCTGCAGCACTTGCAAACAAAAGCTGGAAATGGCTTCTTCAAGGTCCAGAAACTGTTCATGACACAATTCCAGGATTAAATTGATTGTGTTTTAGCAACAGTGCCAGGCTAGGGGTGCAAAGATATTTATTTGCTCAATCATTTCAGGATGTCCTCGCCCGCGGCACTCAGTCGAGCACTCACTGCATTACCCAGGGGAGCCACGGATGATGGGCCACCTGAGACTAGACAGCGTTATTGCACAGTCGCAGACACAGCGAGACAGAAAGGCAGAGTAAGAAGGGAGTGAGGGAGAGGCGCTGAGTTCAACGGGTTCTTCGTGCAGTGACAGTGCACAGAAGAAAATGTGATTCAGCACCGAGGGAGAGAAGACAAACCCATTCAAAGCGAAGGCGGTGGAGGGAAGGCGGGAAAAAGCATCCTGGATGTGTGTCTGAGTGTGTGAGACAGTGGGTGTATATGTGAGGATGTGAGTGAGTGAATCGAGGGGGGGAAAAAAAAAAAAAGTGAGAGGAGAGTGTAGGAAGAGTGCAGCCTAGCGTCTCTGATGTGACAGCTCTTTGAAGCTCATTGAGAAAAGGCTGCCTGTTTGATTTTCCTTCTCTGTTCCTCCTTCACACACGGTTCTCCTCCTCTCTCTGTGCTTCTGCACTCGGTCTGATTTTCATCTCCATGTCTGAAATGGCTGGAGGGAGGAGAGGTAGTGACAAGAAGTGACAGGTGACAACGAGGAAGGAGCTGAGAGGGAATCGAGCCGAGTCCAAATTAGATGGAAATGCAGTCCTAATGAGCTCACAAATGAATGTGTGATTACATGAGAAAGGGGCCAAGTAGTTAATGTGTCTGACCTTATAGTCTTGCTCAACTGGATATGAAAAGTTACAGCCCCATTTTATCTTTATATCATTAAAGAAATAGTTTGACATTTTGAGAAATGTGCTAATTCGCCTTCTTGCCATGAAGTCTTTACGCTCAGCGTGATGCTACTGCCTGCAGCTGGCTAACTCAGTTTAACTTAAAGAAAGCCAGATCCTGTCCACAGAAAACAAAACCTCTCTACTGTACATCTAAAGCTCACTAATAAACATGTTCATTTGTTTCCCAAATTGTCACCCATTTTCTTTAAGGAAACTAAAGATATACAAAGAGGTTAAAGCAAGACAAACAGTGTCGAGCAAATAATTTTCACAAATTATACACTGACAAGTCTCCTTTAAGCTGAGGTGGCTCTAGGAAAAGGTCCTGAAGTGCTGACAAGCACAGCGTGATGCGGGCTTTGGAGGATCACTAAATGCCAGCCTTGTCAGCCTCTTTCAAATTCATCTGATTGAACTCTTCATGCCTCATTAGGCTGTTTCAGCAAGCTGACACTGACTGACAGGTTAACAATCCAAAGGTTCATTCTGCATGGGAAAGGCAAGACAAACGACACCTGTTGGCCTGGTTCGAGCGGTGCATGTCCAAAACCCCAGAGGAAGAGTTTATACGAATCTCTAGGAATAAATTAAGTCTTGACAGCGGAGTGAACTGTACAGCATGCAAATACTCAGGAAAATGCCAAATCATCACTTCAGTTACATGCTGGATTAACCAAATCTCTCCCTTTCTTAGGACTTTAAACAAAAACTGTACCCGTGTAAAAGCCAGGGATTCAACATAACCCTGCTCAACTCCGCTTCATCCAAGAACATCACCTTTACAGCCGTTCTGTTTTCCTGGTCAGAGCAGGAGCTTTGGGACCGAGGGAGAGGATGAGAGAGTAAAAGGGGCGGGGAGAGAGGATATGGGAGGTGGACGAAGGAGAATAGAGCTGGTGCCAACTGTGCTAAAGGCCCATGTGGAATGCCAAGTAAAGTCGGAGGAGGAAAGTGAGGGTGGGGCATGGGAAGGACTGCAGCAAGGTATGGGCGGCGTTAGAGAAGGGTTGTTGGCTCAGGCCGAACTTTTAATTACTTACACAATTTTCTCAAAGGGAAAGCCCAATATGACACAAAAGTGAACAAAGATAATTCTGCACGTAAAACAGAGTTTCATCATCTTCATTCTTGCTCCCTGTCAGAATTTTGGCAATAGTTGAGGGCCACCTTATGATGTGACAAACCCACTGAATAAGAATCTGCCTTTAGCTGGAGTCTACGCAGAGTAGCATGCGACTGAGCTCAGCAGCAGGCATGATAGGTCGGGGAGAGCTTCACATTAATTTTCTGGGAACACATTCCTCTGCTTGCTTTGGCATGACTCATATTCTGTCCCTGTGGGTTTCCTCCCCGATGTGAATTCAGTCAGTGACAGGTTATGCGGCACTCTAAAGAAACAGTTGTTCACATGTCACATACAGAACAGGAATTTCCTGAAAAGCCCTACGCCTGCAGCACATCTACTTCGAAACTCAGCTCTACAGGTTCGGCCTTGAACGGATTTGTCGGGGAGGAGGTCTGTCCTGAATGCAGAACAGATCTCTTGGTTGAGTTGTGTGAACTCATGACATAATGCCTACAACAGGATACTGTAATGGGACCTAGGATTGGTTTAAAAAGCATCACCGCTAACTTACTATTCGGAATTTTTTAATTCACCATACAAGATAAATTCTGAGCAACACCAAGATGAAAAGGTGACTAATCATATGCTGCTCTCGTTCCAGTGGTATATGCCAGTTAACAGTGTTATGACACTGCTGTCAGTTAAGAGTGGAACAGACCAGTTGAAGACCAATAAAATGCAGTTTACGGGCCACAGGTGAAAAAAGTGTTTTACAACTAGTTAAAGTGGCATACAACTAAGAAACTGCACCCATTTATTCATTACTTTTAGTGATCAATTTTGGTTTCTTGGCTCATTGGCTTTCACACCCTCTAATTAACTATATATGGTCTTAAAGTTGGGTTAGGCAGGAATCTGAAAAAGGCAATAAAAAAGATACACTCCTCCCTCTTCCCTCTTTTCTAAGTCCCTCGAACCAGAGGAGGTTCAAATCCGCAAAGATAGTCGAGCTAAAAGTCTACATTGATTTGTGGCGTCACACTAGACTCGAACCTGGCCGACCCGTTACAGCACCACATCCTCCTCTTTCCACTGACTTAGTTGTGATCTCACCTGTTATGGGCGAAAACGCCCAAGATTGGCTAAATATTTCTAAAGCTTGAAAACGGAGCCAAGAAGAGGTGCAGATGTTTCCTCTCAGACCACATGAATTACAAAATTCTGAAAGGTTATCATGGAGTTTTTTTCCCCCCAATAATGCCAAAAAATACCGCCCACCCCAGTCACGTAGACGATACAACTAACTGACCTTGTTGGTCTGCCGGAGTTTGTAGTTTATAAGAACTGCTGTAACAAATATACTAAAGATCAGTCTCACATTGTTGCACACCCTGGGGTACAAATACTCCTAGCTGGGAATGAATGTACTGGTGAAACACAACAGCGTATTATCTACTAGAGCCCCAAGCCTGTAGCACAGCAACAGTCAAAAATAGCATCCAAAATATGTCACAAAAATACAAGTTGCTTGTCATCAGTAAAATTAGTGTCTCAGGCATATTAAAAAGAGGCTACCCTGACATGATTGTTTACATACTGCTTTTGGAAACATCTGCTAATTATTTAGCTAAGCTGGTGCGAGTGAGTAAGACGGTATGTAATCTAACATTGTTCTCCATTAGCAATGACACCTGTAGGAATGTGCATCCATCATGTTGCACTTCTACAATAAGCCGTCACTATAAAAGCTTGTCAGAGCTTTGTCAGATCAACTGTCGAGCTGTTATTCGTTTTTCAAAAGCGGAAGGCACAAGACAGGATGGAGTCGGAGGGTGGAGGGTTTCTTACGCTCCATCAAGCCGGAGGAGCAGACAGGACTTGGCCTTCCTCTGGGCTGGTATGCTCTGCCCTGTGGAGTGATGGTCTATAAACTCGACCTCATTTGAGGTCTGTCTCCATGGCAGACGTCGCCATGGCCATCATTTAATTACTCCACACAATAAAACTCAACATCAAGGGCCCCTGTTTAACTAGGATAAGGGGAATGAGAGAGGCCATCTTAAGTAGTGTCTGCTCCTGCTGTGAGGCTGGCCGTCTGCTCAAGCGTCGCTTGGCGGGCACTGTGCCCTGGGCCCAGCTGCAACGCGGCTGCCAATGGGCTCATGACTCAAGTGCATCTGAGGGAGCCAGGCATGCCACCTGGGCACTATCCGTTACAGTGGGACGCTGTTTACACAGGGGACCTGAGAGAAACAAGGGAGGGCAGAAATAGAGTGTAAATGTTTAGTGTGTGGATGTATCTGTGTACATTTGTACCAGGATAATTAAGTGTGTGAGATGAAACCAGGGTGGAAAGGGAGATGAGTAGCAATTTTGTGCATCTCTGTAAACAGATAACCTTTGCTTTCATCAAGTTGCTCCTTCTTGCTTATCAAATGTTTGGCACAGGACACCTTCATCTGCATGCTGTTTGTGTCTAGCAGCTCTAAACGGTCTTGGTTAAAATCTCTTCTCCCCCACAGGTTGATGGAGAACAACAAATACTTTATCAGTTACTGTAGTTTTATAATTTGTTTTACAATGCTGCTCACAAAAATAAAACCCAAAAACACAATTAGATCCAGATGCAATTGTTGCATTCTGAGGTTTTAGCCTCCATGGTGGCCTCCTCTTCACGCTCCTCTCACTAGTTAATTGCAGCGCTGCCACATGGATGCCATGACACCAGCCTGTGGGCTGTTATTACCTCTGCCCTGTCATTAGCTGCTGCACTGTACTGAGTTAAAGCCCGGAAAGAGCTGCAGCTCACAAGGGGCACAATGAGGATCACTGTTGTCATATTCCCTGCAATCACATCCTTTACAGCAAGTAGCCCAGCTCTTCCTACTGGCCCCCTCTCATTATGAGAGGCCAAGCCCATACTGAGTTAAGGCTAGCAGGGCAAGCCAAATCATCCTCTGGGCCCCGTCTCAGACAGTAATTTCTTTTTCATTAGCAAACAATCACATTTATTTATTTGTCTGTCCATGATATAGATAGTCAGATTGGCAGGCATAAGTCGAGGGCAGTGTAATAAAAGCTTTAAAGCTCTTAAAAGATTTATACTGCGTACTTACCACCACTGAGCAGCTTCATAACCAGCCACAGCTCATCCTTTACCACAAAGGAGGTGTAGTAAGACACGATGTTGGGGTGGTGGCACTGGCTCATGGCCTGAATCTCTTTCTGTTAGAGAAGAAAAGATGAAAGAGACAAAATCCAATTAATCAGAACTGTTTGATGACAGACTATGAATTTATTTTCCATTGGTTAGATAAAGCTGGTGTAATCTGTTAACACGCTGTGACATCAGCTTTTGGTGGAAATAGGTTGAAACATTACAACACAGCCAATGCAATTTTATTAATGACGTGAGTCTTGAAGAAAACAAACATTTGTAGAGCAGTTAGAAGATATGGTATGAGTGAGTTGAACTGACGCTAAATATTCTTACTCGACTTTTTTCCAAAAGCTGTGAGGAACTAAACTGAATGCAGTCACAATAAATGCTTTTTCCTTTGATGCTTCAGCTATTCTTGAAATTTAGTGCGATACTTAAGATCATCATGACGTCAGTAGTCAGAAGAGAAATAGGCTAGGTCATTGTAATGCACATCTATGCAGAAGCAAAAAAAACAAAAAAAACAGCCAGTACTCAGCCTTTATACAGCTGTAAAGCTCTTCCTCTGTGTGTGTGTGTGTGTGTGTGTGTGTGTGTGTGTGTGTGTGTGTGTGCGCGCGCGCACACTTGGAAAGCAGAGGAGCTGAGGTAATGCTGGCACTGAAGTCTAATCCATCACTTCAGCACCAGTCCAAAAGTCATTTGAGGATAGACAAGCTTCCTGAGAGAAATAAAATCAAGCTGACTTCGGAGGTGGGACCACTGACTCAAAGAGGTTTCGCATTTGTTTCTGCTCTTGAGTACTTGAGCACTTGACAAATGGTAGAACCTGTAGCTGGAGCCCCACAGTTACATTCTGCATGTGAACCACGACATCTTTGTACTTGTTGCGATCAAAAGGGATGTAAGTACTTGAGACCTAACTGAAGTGAGTTATCAGGGTATCAGGTTAATACAGCTAACCAGTTATTAAATCCTTGCGGTCGTCCAAGAATAATACTGCCGGGTTTTTCCAGCTCAGGATGGGCCTTTGGGGGGTGACAACACAAAACACTAAACGTGATCGATGTGCGTGCAGTAAAGGCAATAAGTCTGCGTTACCTTATTTGACAGAAATCTATGCATTTTCCTGTTTTTTCTGAAAATAAACCCTCGAAAACCCTGTGCTGCAAATAAGTTTGAAGGTTTTTATGAAGTGCCAACTAATGTTTATATTACAGGGAAAGAACAGTTAAAATACTACAATATTACCAAACTGAAAATCCTAGTTCCTTTGAAAACAAAGATGAAGTTTATTTAGAGCTGACATAATGGCAGTAATTCAGATACAAGTGTTAGTGGACAGAAAGCTACTGGCAGTGAATAAAGTAACTGAACACTCATTCATTAAAAAAAAAAAGTTTTTTACCATCTTCAAAATTAATATTTGCCATTTTATTCAGCAAACTATCAAGCAAATGAAATTCTTTGGATTCTGGACTGCTGGTTGGAAAAAAACAAAAAAAACAAGGTTTCAGAAAATATCACCTTCAGCTCTACGGGAAATTGAAGAATTTTCTAACATTTCCTGATTATTTAAGATCTCAAAACACTATGAAAGACAGATTAACCACTAATGACATTAATAATAATTTGCAGCTATTGTCTAATCATGAGTGCAGGGATGCAAGATTATGACCAGAATGATAATAACGATTATCTTGATCAATATTGAGATCAAGATTATTCACTGATTTTATACAAACAGCACTGCTTTCTTTTGAACATTATGCTATATTTCTGGTAACGTACAAATCTATACATCAGAATAAGACTTAAGGTTCTTCTTCACCTGAATTCAATGAATCTTCTAGAGCCTCAGTTGCTGAACATCTGCTTAATAGATAGAATAGACAATGATTGAAAGACTATTACTGATAGACACTACAATTAAAACCATGTCATCTAAACACCTCACATGCAGGCTAAAGTAGACGCTAGCTCAGCATACCATCAAGTTTCCTTACTCATTTACTACAGTACACCAACTAAACAGGTATGTGACCAAAATTTACGTAAGAAGTTCTAATGTCGGATTTATGCAAGTTCAAAACAAGTGATTTTATCGACATGGGCTATGTTTTATAAGCAGGGTATTTAATATGTCGATATCACAATTAATCGGTACAGATAAATGTTACAATGCAAACTCAGAATTGTTCACAATAGTAGCATTTCACCTGAACATTTTTAATATTTGAAGGAATAAGTGGGGAATACAATTCTTGCACATCAAACCCAGAGTCAAAAGAAAACACTGACATTAAATTAATGTGTATGTGTCAAACATGTCACACACCAACACACTGCACCTTATGACTTAATATACCACAACTAATATAACTAGGTGAGCTTTCCCCCCATTTTTCCAGTTTTTGTGCTAAGCTATCCTAAACATGTCCCAAACCTTTAGAAACTCTGTACTGGATGCACCGAAGTACAATCAGTATCGACCTTCGGAACTTATGGTGGGTTTTACCACAATTTATCATATTTCCTCGAATTTCCTAGTGTTTCGAATACAAGTATTGATTTTTTTTTACCATGACAACCAAAAGCCTGTCAAAGGAGAAACCTTAACACTCAAGCTGAAAACATTTGTAAAAGCCATCAATCGATAGATGCTCGTAGGTCAAACAGTAAGCAATCGAAGTCAGATATTCCATCAGCATAAATGCTTAGCTTACACAATGTGCATTAGCAGCAGTGTGCCTCTGCTGTGAAGCCATCACTATTGAGCCTGTGGTCTTCAGTTACAGCCTTCAACAAGAAGTACTACGGCAGACAAGGGACATCATGGTGTCTCTACAAGGCATTTGACCAAGAAGGGATAAAAACATGAACCGAGTCATAATAAGGGTGGATACAGACTCTGCATGAAAGTCATCAGACTATGACAGGTATAGACATGTTTAAATGCACACAGACCTGTAAGGTCAACTGTTCTGAGGACTGACAGTCAAAAAATAGAAGAGATTAAGAAATTTACAAGCTACAGAGCCTATAAAAAAGAATTCCCCACCTCGAAAGTTTCATTCTTCTATTGCTTTTCACCATTTAATCATGGTCAATTCAGAAAAAAAATACTTTTTCATTACAAAGTAAAAACAGATTTCTACCAAGTAATGCCAATTAATTAAAAATATAGGATGTGAAACAAGTGATTCCATAGGTACACACCTCCTTCAAAGCAACTCACCTAATTCAATAGAGGTGCAGTCAGTTGGTCATAGATGTCATACAATTACTGAAATGGAGATCATCTGAGTGCCTTACGTCATTGTAGCATAAAGACGCCTGTATCTGGAAAGTCCAGTCACTGGTGAATCAGTACCCCTGGTTGTAACAACACCACAAAGACAAAAGAACAATTCCACCAAGACACCTATGACCGGACTGAGGGAGTTACAAGCTTTAGCAGCTGTAATGGGAGAGATTATGTGTACAGCAACTGTTGCCTTTACTTTGATTGGAGTGAAAGTTTTATGGGAGAGTGGCAAAGAGAAAGCCACCGTTGAATAAAGCTCACATTAAAGGAGAGCTCAGGAGGCATGTGGGGGACATTAAAGTCAAATGGAAGAAGATTCTTTTGCCTGATGAGACCAAAATTGAGCTTTTTGGTTTACGCTATGTTCTACGGACATGAAACACTGCACATGATCACAAACACACCGTCCCCACCGTGTAGCATGGTGGTGGCAACATCATTATTTGGAGATGCATTGGCAGGCCCTGGAAGGCTTGTAAAAGTAGACTATAAAATGAATGCAACAAAGTATAGGAAATCCTGGAGGACAATCTGGTGCAGTTTTGCAAAAGAACTGCAATAAAGACTGTTTTTTTCCAGCAAGACAGTGACCAAAAGTAGACAACCAAAGCTACACAGAAGTTTAAAGATAATAAAGTGAATATTCTGGAGGGGCAGAGTCAGAGCCCAGACCTTAATCCAACTAAGAATTTGTGGCTAGACTTGAAAAAGGCTGTTTGCTCACGATCCCCGTGTAACCTGATGGAGCTTGAGCAGTTTTGCAAAGAAGAATGGGATAAAATTGGAATGTCCAGACGTGCAAGACTGATTTAGACGCATTGACACAGGCTCTAAGCTGTAACTGCTCCCAGACGTGCATTTACTAAACACTGACTATAAGGGTGTGAATGCTTGTCCAATTGTTTATTTTATGTTTTAGATTTGTATTTTATTGACATTCCTTTTTCTGAACAAATGTTTCACTTTGGCATGTAAATTCTTGTCAAAAAAAAGACAACAAGACCATGATTCAATATTGAAATAGTAATAAAAGGGGAAAGGTTTTATTAGACATCATACCAGGTTGCATTTAAATTGACAAGTACTAATGTTCTGGCCAACAGGTGAGCCCACATACCACCCTGGTTCTAAACTAAGCTGCTCCTGATTATCAAACAGTTGAATAATTTCCAGTCTGTTGAGCCAGACAGCGAGCGATGTGGGTTGTCTCCCCCATCATTCTGTCTCTGGATACTGCAGAGAGGGAATAATGATGATATAGCCTGCTGGCTGCTAAACTGGCTTCAGCGAAGCCCTCCCACCCCCCTCTGTTCTCAGCACAGTGAGGAGGCAGGTCACCACAGCTCTGTGGGCCAGGGTAACCCCAGAAAAGAAAAACAATGGGATAACAGGGAGGATATCGTGCTCTGGCAGTTGGCAGGTTTTCCCATCTTTTTCCAGCAGACAATGTGAGAATGAGAGAGACGCTTTGTTGTGAGGATTAGGTCACTGTAAACCTATGCTGCAGCAAAGATCCTGGAAATGTTCTCATCACTCAGAGCCATTCATACCCCTTCTCACTGTGTAACCTTCAACCTGCAACCGTTGACATATGATTCAATTTTTCCTCTGTGGAGGTTTTTACAGATATCTCAGCTCTGACTGGAAAAACAAAGAGATTTCTGAACACTTTTGCTTGATGTAAAGGCACGTCATGCCTGTACTTCTCCTGCATGAACTGCGTCATTGGCCTATAAATTTTACTGGGATACTGACTCAGAGAAACAGACCGGATGGGTGAAAAAGCAGAGATGATAAAAGGGACTATAAGGCAAATAGGATCTTTGGAAATACTTCTTCAGCCCTAACATCAGTTTTATCAGGATCTTTATCCATACATAAAAGAAGGGAGAACTCTCTCTTACTGTCTTTTTACTTGCAGTAAACTTTATTGGAAATACAATTCCCTGACTGGTCTCAGCCGATTAAGTGCTGGGTATATCTGTCTGGCATTTTCATTGTTCCTCAGTTTTACCTGATGAAGGTCTAAAGACCGAAACATTGGATTTCTAATAAAGTTTAGTGCAATTGAAAGGACAGTGTGTAGGTGTTCTCTTCTCTTACTGATACCTCCTACGCAACAGACTACAAAAATCCATAGATATGCATGAGTGTTTCAGTCAAGATCAAGAAGTTTATCGAAAGAGAAAACTCATTCAGTCTATATCATCATTAACTATGTCTGGTAGGTGGCAATTACATGTTTTTAGACTTCAAATTGATTCTTACTAGTTTGTCTGGGGAAAAAAAGTCCAAGTCAGACACATTTTTGCTGACATTTGATGAATTTCAGTCTTGGATTTAAAACAGTTTCTGCTTAATGACTGATCTGCTTCAAATGATAAAAACAGCGCAACACGTCTTCCAGACAGTCTTTCTTCTGGCCTTTACTTGATCGTGGGTGTTGTGTTGACTTCATACTAACACACAGAGCAGTTTTATGCCTTGCATTCAACCTGCAAACCACAACAGACACACCTGTCTGGCATTACACGCACAGCCATCTGCTCCACAAATGGTTTCGTTATTCCCTGATTACAGTTTGGATTTAATATATGAGTCATTCAAGACATCAAAAGAAGAGTTTACGGTGACCTGTGTAGGCCATCATTATCAAATTAATAGAGATAATGACCATCTGTGTTATATTCACACGCAGTATGCCATTAGATTAGTATATTTCATGCTTCCCACTGCTTTTGGATGTTGGAACGCCATCATCTATCTGAACTGATTAAAGAAGATCACGGTGATACAAATTTACATTCAGTTGCTAGCGTTCTGTTTACTAAATGCTTTGGTACTTAACACTAACATTTGAATGCCACAGATGTTGCCATGAGAAGCAGCTGAGAAACTTCTTTGTGTCACAATGAAATCATATATACGTTTTAAAACTGTTAACATTTCATCTATAACATAAACACACCCTATTTAACGATACATAGGAGACGGTTTTCTCTTAATTCTAAGCCTTTGACATGAGACGTTATATGCTTCTAAATTAAAAATATAACTCAACTCCATCTTTATTTATGGAGGATGAGCAGCCAGAGGGTGGGCCAAAACTTCTGATCAATAACAACATCCAACCATCATCCCCACCCATCTAATAAAACTGTCTGTCTCTCCCTAATTGAAACACTGGTACAGTCAGCGACTTTTGACGGATACTTTCTTAACATTGCGTGCCATCCCACAGTCGTTTTTTTGAAATAATGTGAGTAAAACAGGGAAGCGAGACGCTCTTTAAAATGTCACTGTGACATGAGTGATGCTGCGTTGCCTAATGCCATGAAGAGAACGGAAAGTGACTTATTCTCTCAATCTTGTGATGGTACTAAAACTTTACGATCACGACATGCTAATCCCCAGCTGAACCCTGCTTTAGCCCACAAAGTAAGGAAACACTTTCCAGGAAATAGACCAGTCCATGCCAATTGCGTTTTCCTATATTACGCCTGAGCTATTCACTATTTGTCGTGTCTGAGGACCTTGAAACTGAGCAAAAAATAAATGACCTATTGTCACGCTGAATACAGTGCTGGGTCACAAACTGGTGCCACAGAATCACACTGATGGCAGACACACAGAGAAGCCACTATAGAAGCAATGTTACGTCACTATCGGTTACTCAGAGCCTCACACACACACACACAATCGCTATGACTCAATCCCACTGCAGCACGCACACATACACACGCATAAATACTAAGAGGCTGCTGATCTGCAAATCATGACAAAATGTGCTACAGTGTTATCTTAATGTCAGGTAGTAGTCCGATTCAGATTGCTGTGCCAGAAATACATATTTTTACCTCAATACGAGGTGCGTCAAAAAAGTTCCAGGACTGGTGTCACAAAAGATATATTTCAAACCCAAACTACAAACTACAAGTTTTCCCTTTCAGTCAATCAAACAGCACGTCTACAAAGAGATCCTTTTGCTTTGTTCAGTGCACGAGAAGATGTGAGAGTTGCTGCAGGACAAGTCATGGCTGCTTCACCATCACAACGTGCCTGCTCACAATGCCCCGAGCATCTGACGGTTCCAGGCTGAGAAGAACATCACCGTGCTGGAGCAGCCTCCCTACTCACCCCACCTGGCTCTGTGGGATTTTTTTTCCTCTTCCCCAACCTCAAGGGGGTCATCAAGGGGACCCGTTCTGACGACATCAAGATGGCTGCGACGACGGAGCTGCACAGGATCCCGGAAGAATCCTTCCAGGAGTGCATGACAATGTGGCAGAGAAGGCTGGGGAAGTGTGTTAGACTCCAGGGGGATTACTCTGAAGGGGAAAACTTGTAGTTTGCAGTTTGGTTTTGAAATAAATCTTTTGTGACACCAGTCCTTGAACTTTTCTGACACACCTCGTATCGGTCTCCAGCCACTCTGACGTCAAGGCATTCAGGGATCTTTTACAGTCCAAAATTGATTCGTACTGCTTTAAAAGAAAAAAAAAAACAAAACAGCTAGTAACACAGTGGATCACATTTTCCTCTGAGTTTCAACAAATACGTTAAAGTTGAAACAATTGTGTAATTCTCAGCGAGCCTCTAAATCATCTGATCCAGCCAGAGTCATTCAAAAGCACCTGACCATTAAACTCTTGTGCCTGGAATAACTACGACACAGCATTGCAAATGAAGACACAAAGATGCGACACATTATTGCTTTTTTGGCATCCAAAAACTTAAGATTGAAGACCTGCAGGCCTCTTTAAAAGTTGTCGCATCCTATTTTATAGTTGCTTTTTTTAGAGAGGCAATCTGGGTTCAATTTAACGCTTCCTCGATGTTTAACCGTGCACCCAACAGGCTGTGGAATTGGGGGGGGGGGTGAACGGACCACAGGCAGGAAATCTGATCTCGCTGTATTCCATGTGACCGCCTGCTCCGAGAATCCGGGAGCAACATTCCCCTGATTCATCCTCCAGAATTCGGGGGGGGTGGGGAAAGGTTCCTTCTCGGTATAGTGTTGCCATTGAATAGTGAGCAACCTGCCAGCGTTCTCTAGCCATGATCTTCCTGCACGCATATACGCTTACACAATATTTATTTCCCACAGGTTACTTTCGCAGACTTTTGGATGAGTACTCGAGAGGACTGGAAAAATACATCAATCTCACGTCAAGCCTAAGTGAACAAAAGCTCATTTTCCATTGTTGGATAAAAAGCTGAGATCAAGTGTGTGAGTGACTGTGTCTGTGTGTGTGTATGCTGTGGAAAAAATACATTTAAAAAAGTGAACTGACAGTTACTACATAATTTTTGCCCTACATTGCGTCCAAGCCAAGTAGTGCGACATATTTCCTCTTTATTGCTCTAAAAAAAAGGTGGTTAAAAATAAAAGAACTGTCAAGCAACCGTTGAAAAGTAAGCCACAAATTTTAAAAGTACGTGCTCTGACAAATACATATTTCATTCGAGAGACTACTTTTCCCCAACAAAGCCGGGACACACAACAACCACGAACAAGCACCTGATTATTTTTCTGTGCAGAGGAAATTGATATAATCCTTCCATCTCTTGAACTAAATTGCAAACCACGTCATAAAGTAAATGATGTGCTGTGCTGCGGTGCAAGATTGTATTGAGGGTATAAACACACAATACAGTCTTCAGGAAGATATCCCTGTGGTGGTCTAATAGTTTCCTGGCAGTAAGTGGAGTCCTCCTTCAGAGAACAACCAGAATAGTGTTTGAAGTGACAGGGATGATTGGAGGAGGGCTCAGAGAAAACGAGTAATGAAAAGCAGAGGTGGAACTAACTCCATCCACATGCGCTGACCACAGAGACAAAGCCTTGAATGAGATCTTGTGCTGTAAGGCAGTAGCTGCCTTTGATCACGCGTGACAAGTAACAAGGTCACAAAAATGTTCAGTCTAATATGCATTCACTGAGCAGTGTTGGGTGTCTTACCAAGAGTTCGTCCATACTGGTCTGGCACTTCTCAAGGTTGATGCGTTTGATGGCCACCTTCTCCTTGCGAGGTATACAGTAGGCTGCTTGAACCACTGCTGTGGCCCCACTCCCTAAAACAGACAGGAAAACAACCTATTATCAGTCTGATTACACATCTATTCATCCGTTTTCTACCGCGTCTGAAGTTGGGTTGCAATGGCAGCAGCCTAAGCAATGAAGTCCCTGTCTCTAGCAATGTTTTGCAGCTCCTCCTGGGGGAATCTGAGGTGTTTCAGGGTGAGATTAGATACACAATCTTTCCAGCATATTCTGGATGTACCATGGGGGCTTCCTTCTAGTTAGATGTGCCCAAAAAACACTAACAGAAGGCACCCGGGAGGCATTGTAATCAAACATCCAAACCACCGAACCTTTCAACGAACAGCGGTTCTCGTTCAAGCTCCCTCCAGATGTCTGAACTTCTCACCCTGACTGTAAAGGTGATTGAAGCCACCCTGTTTAGGAAGCTCATTTCAGCTGCTTGTATTCAAGATCTCATTCCTTCAATCATTAACCAAAGCTCATGACCATCGGTGAGGGGGGAAATGTAGATCAGATAAATCAAAAGATTTGCCTTCTGGCTCAGTTGATCATTCAAAGTCATGTCAGTCAATACAAGACCGCCTGTGCTGTTGTAAAACTTTTGCATGTACAGCACAGTGATGTCAGGTAATATCCACATCTTTAAGCCCTGTGGGTGCCTTTCAGTTGTCTGCCCCTTTCCATACCCTGTCGGCATCCAAATCATAGTTACTGCTGGATAATAAACTTCACTTTTATCCATCACCTAAACAAAAAACTGCCGAGTTCATAAAGGTTAAATGGAATTCTGCTCAGACAGTTTATCCGATTTCTCTTTGGTCCAGCTTAACCGTGTGTTCATCAATTATGAATCAGCTTTCCCAGAGTCCTGTCTAATGAAGCAGACCTGATCGGAGCCGGTGACTAAACCGAGCACATCCCCAGGAGGCTTCGGTAGGAGGCTCACGCCGGATAAGCCCAAAGGTCTTATGCTATTTAGAAATGTCCTTTTTTTTGTGGCACAATGTGAAAATTGTGTTCACAGGTAATTGAAAGCAGGCATTCTTTCACAGCACAACACACAGCATAACAGTAACTATAAAGCAAGGAAAATTCCAGTTTTTAAAGATTTATTTCTCATAAACACAAGTAATGCAAATTTTTTTTTACATTTTTAGATTGTGCAATAAAATAAGGACTACAAGCATAAAGGTGAATTTAAAAACAAAAAAACCTATCGCCTGCCATATATAACACATGCACTCTAATAGTATACATTAAACAACATTTACTGCTCAGTAAGTTTCCATGTGTGTATTTTATGAACTTTCCAAGACCTGTAAAACTTTGAATCAGCGTATCAACAGGGTGGAATCTATGCAACTTTCAACTGCTATTTTGATATGCAAGCAAACAAAACATAGATAACAATCTGATTAAAGCTTACAGTAAATCCCACAGGAGTGGGCTGATCTTTATTTTGAAAAACATGCGATAGTCGGAGTAAAAGCTTGTAAAATCCTCCCCAGGAGAGGTGCGCCTGTTGTTCCCGCATCGTGTGAGGTCATTTCACTGCCCCCTCACTGCTCTTATTTAACGCTGTGCACGCGCACACAAGGCTGTTTCCACAAGATCTCCGGTGTATACGTGACGCTGAGCAATGCTGGGAGCACATTCCCCTCTGGCAAAAAGGCTCTGGTGAGTGAAAGAGTGAGTGGTGAGTTTGTCTACTCTCCAGTAAGCTTTTTCTAACCTCTCGTGCCCTCATCTTAGCTATGCCCAAAAATTAACAAAGTGTTCATTGTTTGGAGTTTTTTTTATGGAGTCAGTGGTGTGCAGAGGTTTTAAATAAAAAAAAAAAAGGGCATAATAACCAAAAAAGAAACAGTTCCCTGATTTTAATTAAAAAGTAAAGCTGTCCCTGAAGACGTGACCCCTTTTTTGATCCAACTGTTTACATTTCAGAGTTATTATTTCAGGCTACAAGACAGAAGCTGAGAACAAAACAGCAAACATCTATTCAGTACAACAAGCTGAGATTAAAGACACATTTACGCACTTGAATAATCTAATAAAATTGCAATTTCCTTGTAATTTCCCATAATTGGTAGAAAGTAAGGGTCATTTTAATCATCCAGGATGTACAGGATATAAAAGAATGCCTCTTGGTGGATGGGTTCCATCTATTGACTGGTAAACTCTAACAATATGTGGCTGGCCTTGCTCAACTCTCCAGTCTCCAAGTAATTGTGGATCACTCCACCATTGCTCAAAACTCAGGGTCTGATAAATTTATCCTCCAGCCCCCACCCCCTACCACCACCAATACCAAACAAACCTCTGGAGACCGGCCAGTGATGGGGAGCTCAGCCTTGGCAGAACCACAGGGAGCCAGTTTCCCTGTACAGAGCGGAGTGTAAATTCCTCCACACAAACAAACAGCCAGTCGTCAGGGGTGGCTGGACAAGCTGGAGAGCATGTGTGCTTGCATGTGTGTGTGGAGAGCATGGAAAAGGGAAAGAGTGTTGGGTTTGCAGCCAGCAAGGTCAAAGGGTAGCAAGGCTCTCTGAGCTTTTGCAACCTGCGGAAGCCTGATCTACCAGCCAGTTAGGCGAATATAGACCTGGTGCTCTTTGATATTTACTACTTCCAAGCTTAGCACAAGGTTATTCCGAGTAGCCTCATCTCTACTATTTGTATCCAGTTACATGATTACTCAATAGCAGGCCTTCTAGGTTCTAACCAGTGCTGTAAACTAAGTAAATATATCCACATTGAGGAAATGCAGACCATTCCTTGCATCATATTCAATAACCAACCAGCCAATAGTTTGTTTTTTTTACTAAGAATACAGACCTTTTTGTGACATATTAAATAAACACACAAGTCAGTAAAACATCTAATCTTACAAATAACCCACACACTGTCGCATCGCGTCCTTCTCACAGACAACACATCATCAGCAACCTTTCAATCAGAGTGAGAGGAAGCACACAAAAGAGCCACACTCACAAAAGGCAAGCACTGCAGTAGTGCCAGGGCTTTGAAGAACTCAGGCCAACATCTAATCTGCTGAACAGCCTAGCATGGACATAAAGGCTGCATATAAAGCAGTAGTGTTTGCCTCTTCGTTTTTTTGCAAATTAATGAATAAATGAATGAGCGGACTGCATTTACTGTCAAACCACAGAAATGAAAGCAAATACTTCAAAGTTGTTGTGTCGTTATTTTCTATTTCTAGAGGTACAACAACAAGATTTTGCTTGTTTTGGAACTGGATGACTAAATTAAATCTATATATTAAGTTAACTCATTACGCAAAATCAAATGAAGATGATCCAGATACCAGCTGAAGATGAGGCATGTTGACACGGCTGACAGGGACTAAGTTATATAAGCTTTTATGTTTGTTGATTCCCATTAGTTTCCATGTTAAAGCTGGTTTTTGCGTTTTATTTTTCTTATAGTCTTTAATATTTCAACATGGCAATTACTACAGAGACAAGCATAGTTAAAAATGAAGTTTATATAGCTCTTCCTTTTTCCTTTTGTGGCAGAGCTGAAGCTAAAAATACCCCCAAACATCTAAAAGCAAGAACTTGACATAGCATGGACGATTCCTCTTTGTTGTTTCCAGTAATTCACATTTATAATTAAGCCAGCAATTAGTTAGTAGCTCCCTAGAGCGTTTTTAGATATCAAAGCATCCAGTTATTGTCTGAAATTGTCTGATACTCAGTTACAGTCAGTTGTAAGTTAAAGTGTCAAATTTGTGTTCACATGTAGAATGATCATCTGCCTCATGTTCAATCTTAGCATTCTGTACGTGTGACAACCTGTTACAGCTCTTCATCTAAAGGTCTCGTCCTGATGATGTGAAACAACTCGATCACCTCTGCAGGGGAAACATTGACAAAACAATCATGATATTTGGCAAAAGCTGCCAGTGTTTTCTGTAAGCATGTTTCCTCTAAACAAGACAAGCCTGGCATGGGAATCCTTGTGAGCATTATACCATAACCTGGCAATGTGTGAGTGGCGCATAAAAGACTAGAGATTTCTCTCCACAATGGACTTCACCGTTTAAGCTTAAATACTCCAACGAGGGCTTAACCCGTGAGCTAACGCTTGCTCTGTCGGGAGTCGACACCGAGTTCCTCTTATTCTGTTGTATTTCCATGAAGTCTTTTTCCAGATGCAAACAGCTAAACACACACAGGAATAGTAAGCAGAATAATAGGCTTAAGACTGACAAAGCTAATGCATTACAAATAATTAAAATTAATAAAGCAGCTCAGAGACCATAAAAATACCAAGAGGTAATTTAATCCGACTAAGTTTGCACACCGCATGATGTTTTTATGGATTCTTTGTCTTGCCTGTACCTATACATCGTTTGTATTTGTACACTGTGCGTTCCATTGGGATGTTTTTAAAGCATTTTTATGAGACAGCTCAACGTTTCATTAAACAGCTCAACAGACTCAGAATGAGATGATACTTCAGATGATGAGCCAGCATTTGCTTTATAACAACGAGAACACACTGGTCAGAGAGAACTTGAGGCAAAACATTAACTGCTCTTGTTCATTTTTAACCACAAAAAGGTATACAGTGAACATAGAATGATATCCTGTCAGAATAGGTTTGGTCTTGAATTAGTTTCTTACTGGAGCAGGTCAGTATGTGAGGCCTGTGTCAATGTGTTCCTTCATGAGCTATGACCAGCAGCGTGGCAGCAGCTCTCAGTTTGTCTTTCCTGCCCTCACCAGGCCAGTTTAGTGCCTGACGTCAGTTGTCTTTTATTACATTTCCTCTGCATACCTGGCTGACATTCCACACACTATTCAAAGGTACAATGAGAAATGTTACACATGACTAGCAACCACACCAGCACCCACTGCCGTTTTAATGTGTGTTCCTCGACAGCCCAATGTTCTAAAAACGGAAGTGGCCTGAACCTTTACGTTGACGTTAAATTACAGCAAAGTTAGTCAGGGGATTGCTTCCTGTTGCGGTAAGTACTTAAATTTAAAAAAAAAAAAAAAACATCTAAAGGGACAGAGCAAGCAACAGGGAGGAAACATGGTTGCCGGTGGATACAAACAGTGGGAGCAGAAAGTTTCCAGTTCAGATTTGCCAACACGAATGATCCAAAGTATGATCGAAGATCGGAGAGAGAGCTGTACTATTTTCCTACGGGCTCTGTCCAGTATGATCCAGTGTTCGTTGGGGTGAACAGAGTGGGTGTGAACCATGTAATAACAAGTCCTCTTTCCCCGGGGAAGTTACCAAAACAATAGGGCATGCTGGGTACGCAGAGCCATCCTCGACACACCAGTCTTCCAGCCGAGCGAGAGGGCTGTAGGCAGCATCTGCCTGGAATGAAACAGTTTGTACAGTATCCAGCCACAGTTTCTGTTAGAGCGAGGAGCAGAGGGGGGTTTTACGTCTGGGAGCCTGGCTTGCTCCGGCTCTTATCTGCAGTGGCAGTTTAGCTCCATTAACAGGCACCTGTTGAGGTTTTAATACTGGAGAAGAGCTGAAACCAAGCTGTTTGTGGCTTCGTACATCAGCAGAACAATAATCAGCAGCTATTTGAAAAAAAATAAAAAATCAAGGTAATTTTTAAAGAAAAAATGTCACATATTTTCTGTTTTCAGCTTTGGAAACGATAAACCAAGTATGTTCAGATTTCGATGTGTTGACTGGACCAAACAAGCTTAGGATTAAGTCTTTTGTCATAACATTTTACACTATTTCCTAAGAATTTATAAAACAAATGATTATCGACAAAATACCTGACAGATTGTTTGATCATGATATGTGACTCTGTAACCCTGAGTATCTTAATTTTAGGGCAATTCCTGGTGTACATGATAAGAACAGAAAGAGCTCCTCAGTGTTCAAATATTTAATTTCATGAAGGACTAAACAATGTACAAGATAAGAAATGGAAAGTTTGCTTTCTTAACCAATCACTCTTGTAGGAGTTGGCCTGAAAAGAGAAAATTATCGCATCTCATGCCTAAAGAAATGACAGAGAGAACGAGAAAGCTCCACAGGACTGTTGGCAAGCTATGTTATGAACAGAAGCAGATGCCGAACAGGAGCAGTTTTCTTGTTTAATGTGAGTTCACAAGGAGCCTGGAGACAAAGCCTCACTCAGAGGGTTATGATAATTCAGATGATATACAAGGTAAACCAGTTCCTTTACATTTAAAGGGCATAATTCATAATCAGCTTTAGGTAGTTTATAAAACAAGAGGAAGAAACAACATTTAACTATTCAAAGCTAAGCTAATAATCATGATCCACTGCCCTAAACCTGAGTTAAGTAAGCATGCTTGAGTTCAAGCTTGAAATACCCTTACTAGTTTCAAACCTATGCGTATAATTTGTGCTCAACACTGTGCAGGAAAATGCCACAGAACTGGTTTCTATACAAGGGGGGCTTTATCTCTGTGCACATGCCAAATTGCAGGGCGTTATCTTGTGGGGTTCCCCGGTTCGAATTTTCCATGAAACTGAAGGGAAATGTAAGAAATGGGTTCAATTAAACTCTTTTAAAAACACACAAAAATGGTTGATTTAGAGCCTGTAAAATGGACCTTCTGTAAACACAGAGATTCCCTGTGGAGGAAGCACGCACCGCTTAGGTAAAGTAAACTAAAGGCACAAACTACCTGATTGGAGAGAACAATAGTTTGCTTATGTGTTGCACGCTCCTTTTTTCTCCTTCTCCCTCCTCAACAAAGTCAGCCAAAGGTAGGACGGGTCAGATATTTGTGGGGTGGGGACATTTCAGACCCTACCCAAGTAAAGGCTGTCAGTCCTTGTGCGAGTCAACCTGTGAAAACCATCCTCAGGCCCCACCAAAGGCTTGCAGCTGCACGGAGAAGGTGCAACATGCCTCCTGTCGCACTGGAAGGTTTGACAGAGAAATGCATTATTTAAACAAACTTTCTCCACTGACATTAGCCTAACAGCATGCTCACAGTTTCAATCCCAGGCCACGTTACACAAAGCATTATTGATGGTGTTGCCCAGCATATTATTACATGATTTTTCCAGGTTTCTGTGAGGCGAGAAGCCCCATAATACTGATTAATCCTCTCCAAAGAGCTCTCGCATAACTGGATTAATTCAAGCTGTAAATTGCCCAAAAAACACACACACACACAACTTCAGTGTGTATAATATCTGGATTGTCCATTGGCATAATGTTCTGCTTTTTTTTTGTTAGCAGCAGTCCCTGCAAGAATATCTGGAGTATGTCAAATAGAGATGGGCGTGAACACAGGCAGTATAAGTTTCAGTATGTGTCTTATCCAGCTAAAGTAACGCGAAAGGATGATAGTTCAGACTTTACAATGAAAAGTGCTACCCAAAATAGCAACATTACTTGGAAAATGTGTTATTTGTAATGTCACTTCTGTTTAAAATCTATTCGACCGACACTGATTTAGTGTAATACAGTTATTATTCTCGCCATTCACAGGTACGACGCCCTCTAGCTAGAGCACAATAAAAAAAAAGTATCAAGCTAGCTGCTCACATAAATAACCGGCTGTTAAATGAAAGCAGTTATTTTTCCAGCAAATAGTCATAGCCTGACTAGACAGTAAGCGGTATAACGCTCGTTTAATACTTCGGCATAGCCCCAGTGGACGGGGTGACCGCTCACACTTGGAGCATTCCACCGACTCCAAGTCACAACACCGCCCGGCTAGGATCACCAAGTTACCTAAAGCGATGAACTCAACCTAGCTCAAGAGAAAGAGGATGCCTTCTGCTCGTTTTTACACTTGAAAGATATTAGCTCATGTTCGCTGCTTTACGCCCCCACCCCCTCTTTTTTTTAGTGAGCTAACGGCACAAATTCACAAACTGTCGGTTAACACATAGCTAACAAGCTAAGGTTCACATACCAATCACCTCGTGTAGCTCATAATCATCTTTGTTGATGGACCAGGGTTGGGAGCTCAGGTCCTCCGACATGGCTGTGGAGTCTGCTGGGGCCGAACTATCTGCAGAAAGGTGGTGAATCCAAGGGCTGCGCGTAAAAAGAAGTCAAAGTAATCCAAACAGGACCAACAAGGGCGACACTTCCCCTTCTTTGCGAATCCTGCAGCACTCCTGTCATTCCCAAAGTTTGACACTAGCCTAGCAGCCCCGCCTACCGCATTCCTACTGAGCTAATGTGGACCTTACAGGCGGACATATTGAGTGAGGAAAACGGCCGAACCGAACGCTTCAGTCCCGCCTGTGGTCGGGAAAGAGGAATTTAACAGCCGTTGCTTGGTGGCTAATTTGACTGAAGTGCAGCTAAGCTAGGAGAAAATGCAAAACTAAGAGGAAAGAGTCCGAATATTTTAAATATTAGCCGCACAGGACTTGTATCTATCTCTTATATAAACAATTATATATGTCTTCAACGTATAAATTAAATACAAAGCACTGCAAGGGGATGTTTAAATTAGTAAAACAAACCGAGAGGTTCCGCCACACTTTCAATGGCGGACTGTGTTCCGTAAAACTAAGTACCCCGGAGTAACGCCTTGCAGGCATTACCTCTTCACATACAGACAACAAACCCACAATTCTTAACTCAAATTAGGGCGCCACACTCATAATCCTTCCTTTATTAGAATTATTCGATTGATATGGTATGCATACGCGTCTATCAGGTTGAGAAGTTCTACCTGACAGGCAAAAATTAGGGCACACAAAATCCTACTTTCAGTTCTGTGAAAAGAGGCGTGCCGCTCCAGGAACATTCTGCTCTCTGATTGGACAATATCACGTCTCCTGCACTGTGATTGGATGTTTACTCTCAAGCGCACTTTACCATTTTCAGCATTAAATTAGCGAGACCTCTGCTGGTGTATTCTAAAACCTGCAGGAGTTGCACAACGACATGCTGGAGAACCAAAGCACACATCCCGCTTTCTTACCTGTACATGTGCTTTTTAAAAAAAACAAAAATCCCCCTAAAAGTGTAGCACATTTATTTTAAGGATTTCCGTTCATACCATTTGTTCAAGACAGAATAAAATTTTACGAAAACAGTTTCTGAAATGTCAAGAACACAAAATCAAATGCAAAGACACCGTGTTGACAAACAAAGTGAAAGAGAGAAAAGGCAGATGTCAGCTGTCAGTAAAACTGCACATGTGAAAGTATCGCAGTCACATTATCGCTTCCTCTTTAGCTTCAATCTCATCTAGATGTTGACTCATATGAGGAAGTAGGCAACACAAAAAAGAGAGCTTTTACAGAACATTTAGTACACACTGCCTTGAATATAAACAGATCCTCCACACCAATAAAAAAAAAACATAATGCAAAATAGTAGCAGGCACAACCTACAGTGTTAACTTAGCAATGCTCTGTGCAGTGAGAACTATGCGGATATCTAGCACTCTTGTGCAACTTGAGGTTCATTATTATAATTTACAGAAATCTGTGTCGGCAAACAGAAGCATTAAAGTACATAATATGTCCACACAGTAAAATTACAGGTAGTTTCTGAAGTCAGCAGAATGTGGATTGAAAAAAATAGCACATAATTAAACCTGTAATATTTGGCCATTGTCAGACGTAATCGACGGCATGGAAAAAAAGAGGCACTTTAAAACATGATCAACTGCCCTGGTTCATGATCATGGCAGTGAGAGAGCTTTGGCAAGCCGTATCCAGAACCAGGCTTGTGTACAAGGCCGGGTATAGTCACACACGGTGAGGAAGCGCAAGATGCTGGGGAACGGCTTTTTCATTGGCTTGTAGATGACAGGAATGAGGCGTTTGCTTCGAGCTCCTAAAACAGAAAAAAACAAAAAGCAGGGAAAAGATTTTTGAGTTACATGCACACATAGGCATGTGTCAGAAAAAGGAAGATATACCTGGGTCAAAATCTTTTTTACCAGGGCAGAGGCTGAGGGCAAACTTGGTCTGAAAGTCACAGGCGTCACTGTCGAGGTATTCATCAGAAATCACAACCACCATCCTCTTACACCTGCAAAGAAGGTGACACAGTATTTTATAGTCATTTGCATAATGTGAAAGCCAGAAACTAGGGAGATTTTACGACAGCAGGTGCGTAGAAAATTTAGATTTCTTGCTCTCAGGTGACATTCTATGACTCGATTTAAAATTAAACTGTTCTCAATCAAGTGTAGCTTTTCATAATCACTAAAACTTTAATGTTTTTTATATCCCTGAGCTTTCCACTTCTTATTTTATGTCCACATAGATTATTAAGAGAACCAGAGCTGCTACACATCCTGTGCTTGAACTCATACTTAATGGCTGTGGTTGTTGAAATTTCCGTTGCATTCGAATCACAAACACAAAGTTGTGTTGCAAACCCGGCCCCCCCCGAAAAAAAAAAAGCCTACGTTTGCTTGGGCTGTCCCTCTTTTTTCATCATGACCTAGTTAGAGTTTCAGAATCACACCTGGCCCCATGTGCCAGTGTTTGTATCATCAATTTTTCTCGTTAAAATTAGAGTAAAAAGCCAAATCAACAGAACAGAAATGTTCATCATTTTTCACCTCTTTTCAATGAGTTCACTAGTGATGGTCCACACGCAGGAGCCCGGGAGCACATCTCTGTCGAACACACACAGTTTCAGCTTGTACTCCGTCTGTTCCAGTTCCCGGATCATTTCATGGACAAACGTAAAGTCACTCTGGCAGTAGCAGATGAAGGCATCAAACATCTCAGGAGCGCCTGGAATCAATTCCGTTTGATTAAATTCAATAACACAACTTTATTAATTGCTAGAGGGCAGAGTTGTGAAACTACTTGCAACCCAAGACCACATGTACGCACAACAAATATGCAAAAACTGTATTTCACAGAACTGAGATATAGTTTAAAGTATACAAGCACCAAAAGACTGCAGGAAATTAGAAGGGAGGCAGCAGAGCAGACGTGCGATTAGAGCTTAAGATAAATCGTCAGTGTAAGAGATAAGTTGGAGCTCTTCCCGTACAAAACTGCACCACTGAAAATAATTCTGTGTATTTACTCAAGTTTGACTCGAGTGTACTGCAAAGCCAAAGTCATGCATTTATAAATATATAATAGGAGGCATTTTTGGAGCAAAAACAGACGGCAGCATGAAAACTGTTGCTGATTGTCAAATGCCAACGATTGTTGTTAACCTAGAAAAATACTTGTGCTACTGATGGCTTCCATTATTACTGCTTTCATGAAACATGCAGTTATGGACATCAATGATCAGTTTTCTTGGCGTTAAAGGGAAAAACATAACTCATAAAACAATCAAAACATGTTCTGCAATTTGTTTTAAGTTCCATTTCCCTTTTACCAGTAATGGAAGTCGTCTAAATGCACTTCCTGATCAGCAAAATGCCCTTAAAGTATATTTCTAAAAATCCAGTACTCAATATGCCAATGTAATGTTTACCATTGGATCTATTTTAAGGGACCTGTGTGTAGGATTCAGTGGCACTGAACAGTGAATATGCAGATTTCAACCAGCTTTCTCAAACCTCCCTTTCCAACCATGTAGGAAAACCTAAACACTGTGGTGAGTTCTGTGGAAAAGAACCAGAACATAACTTTGATTGGCTCATTCTGAACTAGTGAGAACACAATCATTTGTAGTATCATGTGGTTATACACTTACGAAACCATTATTATGAATACTACTTTCCATTTCTGCCAACAGACACTGTCAAATCCTACACACTAATGCTCTAACTACCTCATATAATGTTGAACACTTGTTTTATTTACTACCAGAAAAATGTCAAACGGAGTCCATGTCCCTCTAAAATGCAGTAAACAACAACTACAAAGCTGCATAAAACGGAATTTCCATTATTTCTTTTCTACCACTGTTAACTGTGTTTATGATTCATACTTTCTCCATATCATTGACAGGTGCCAATAAATGTATTTTTGTAAGTTAAACAGTGTGCATGACATTTTTTAAAACTGTTTAATCAATAAATATCTAAACACTTCCTGAATCTGTAGGTAACCTAAAGGAAGCTCTACAATAGCTGAAGCAATAATGTTCTGTACCTCATTCAGAGAAGCAATGATTTGTAAAACGTGCTGAATCATGTACAGTGTGCTTTCTGGAGTGATGCAACCAATACTGGCAGAGGCTGGACTGCATTTTTTGGGGACTATTTGGCGTACATGACACACTGTGTAATTATTAACCAGTGGCACTTCCTTATATCTGTACAAAACGTTTGAAAAGAAGATTAAACTAAAGTTTATACAAATCCTCACCTTCAGGGTCGTCGTCCACGGTGATTCCAGACCTCTCTGGGGTGCGAGGGACACAGCTGTCGACCTCAGGAACCTGAAGTGGAGGCTGCTTCTTCTGATTCTCACAATACTTCCTGACATCTTCATCTGGTAACAAAACGTGTACAACACAGACACAAATACATACAAACAGTAAGTTAAAGAGATGTCTTATAAAGTGGATAAACTTATCTGAAATGTCTAAATATATCCTAATACTACATTGTTAAACGCTAGATTTGAGGAAATATGATTTAATACATTTATTCTCGTGTGTAAACAGGCTCAGATTTCTTCATCTGATTCTCACAACAATTTTCATTATCTGGTACAAAACATGCATTTGTACAAACATAGATGCAGTCACACAAATACATACAGAAAGTTGGAGGAAATGTTTGTAGAAAGTGGATACAACTATTCTAAATGTCTGAATATGTTTTAGCCTGTTATTACATTAGTAACTACTGCATTAGAGCTTCATTATGTTGTGGCTATGTGAGACTACATTTGATCAGTTTCCTTATTATGTGTGAACAGGCTCTGCTTTCTTCCTCACATTTTCTCTATAACTCTTGTCATCCTCATCTGGCACCGAAGCACATATTTGTGCAACCAACATAGATGTCGACACACAAATACAGGCATACAGTAACCTGCAGGAAATGAATCTAGGAAGTGGTTGAAATTATCTGAAATGCATTACGTGTACAGAATACATTTGAACCTATTAACAGACTAACAATTACCACATTTACGCAAATATTACTTCATGCATCCCTAATCGTGAGTGTAAATCGTTTCAGTCGTGTGTGTAAATATGGTTTTTTTCTGCAATAATGGAACTTAGGCATGTGAATCATTTCCTGACCGGACAGATTACGCAATAAAAACATATACTTTATACTGTAATGCACTTGTAATATTTATGTAAACCATATTGAAACTATTGGATATTTATATGCTCCTGTGAAAGAAATTCCTAATGTCAGTTTTAGCTTTTTCCTGGTTAAATAAAGTTTTTTTAAAATAAATAAATAAATAAATAAAATAATAAAAATAAATAATAATAATAATAAAAAAAAAAAGTTAATTAAATCTAGAAGTCAGTAAATATGTTTTACCAAATTAAAAGCATGTTTAAAATCTAATAAAAATAAATAAATGCCATTAACAGCAGGCACCTATCAGAGGTCGGAGGTCCTCCACAATGTCTTCTCTCTCCACCTTCCGGAGGATTGATAACAACTTTCCCACCGTCGCTCCAGAGTTCCGGGCCTGCCAGTCCTCCAGAACCATCTTAGTGGGGCTTTTGGACACCTCGTAGTTCTTTATCTCCAGGTAAGAGAAGCCCATTTCCTCTGCAACAGCCGTCCAGTCAGCGGCCACGGTGTTCTTAGGGTTCAGATACAGTCCCAACTTTTTCCTCACGTTCATATTCAGCGCGACGAGCGGAACCGTCCACAAGTGGCTCTCCGGGTCGGCACACGCCATGTTTCGGGATTCTCCGTAAGACCATGGGCTTCCGTTAAAGTGTGAGGGAAGAAAACATAGCGAAGGACAGACGCGGTTGAAGTTAGGCAACAGCCTCGGGAGAGTGAAGTTTAGCCCACCTGAACACCGGACTGAGGAAGTGATGCGACAGTGGTCCCTACTGCGGCTGCGCAACGGGGGAGGAGGAGGAGGAGGAGGGGGAGATGTTCTGTTTGTTTACCTTCTGACGTAAAAGTACATTTCCACTTCTGCTGTTCATGTCCTGGCATCACATGACAGCCAGAGAGAAAGCAGATCCATTCTACTGACATGTATTGAAATGCCTTGTAGCAGGGAGAAGTATTAGTGAAGAATACAGATGAATGCTGATGTTTCTGTTCCCTTTTCTTGTTTACACTTATAAGGCCTTGGCCGGCCTCCTTCCTCTTAAAATGATGACTCAAAACTAAAAATCATGTTCAGTCTAGTGCTAATGAAGATGTGATTTACTGCACAGGATCACAAGCTCTAAAAGACTTACTTTCTCTTTTGTTACCTTGCGCTGAATCAAGAACAGTTTCTGAAGCATTGTAACTAACTGCACATTTTGAGGATATTTAGAGGATATTGTGTATTAAAGAAAAAAGAAAATTAAAATAAAGTTGATCCAAAACCTGGGAGACACAATATTCTTACAATACTTCCTCATCTGCTACCGAAACGTGTATCTGTGCCAACAACACACACACAAATAGGTGTAAGCTCGAGATGATTCTGGAAAGTGGATAAATTATCAGAAATGTCCGAATATGTTTTACGTGATTATTATATTAACAGTTGCTGTAATGTATTCCTAATCATGGGTGAAAGGGTGTTTTTGTTTGTCTTTTTCTTAAAGTAATTGTACTGTAACTGATGGTCTCTATCGCTACTGCTTTCATTGATCGTGCATTTATGCATACTGATAATCTACTTTCTTGGTCTCAAAGGGGAATCCATCATTTATAAAATAATCACAGGACATTTTGTGATTTGTTTTAAGTTAAATGTTCTTATTACCAGTGGTGGAAGCGGTCTGGATTCACATTCTTATCTGCAAGATGTATTCAAGGCATCACTTTTTCAAGTACTTAAGGTGCATATGTAATTACTGCCGTTGTAGTGGGTTGAATTGGGGCAAATTTTAAAAGAGCAGTGTGTGGGATTTAGCAAAGAAGTTACAGGTTGCATCTGACTTCCTCAGAAAATCCACTCACTATGTAAGTCTGATGGGCTCATCTAAACAAATAAGAACACAATGATTCATAGATACATAAAACCATAACTTACAATATTCTATTCCATTTCTGCAAATCAATACCACTAAACCTTACACACACTTGTCCTGTAAGTTCTTCATATACTATTAAACATTTATTAACTATCAGATAAGCATAGTAAAGTAAAATTAACAAAACTTCCCTCTAAGATGTAAAGTATGACTACAAAGTTGCATAAAATGGAATTTCCAGCACGATTAATTATTCCGCCCCTATTATTTCCACCACTGTTAACAGCTTCTGACCGGAAGGAATAAATCTATCATTAATTTGGAGGTAACCTATATTGGGTTTTACAGTGTCTGTGGGAACAATGCTCTGCACCTCATTAAGAGAAGCAGTGTTTAGTTCATATGTGTTAACTTGCAAATTAACAATTAAAATTTCAGTCTAATGCTAATGAAGTTGTGTTTTACTGTCCTGGATAAGAAACATCATAACAAAAAAAGACTTCCATTCAGCATTTTTTTTGTGTGTGTGTAAATTAACTTTAATGTAGTAAAAACAAGAGTGCAGAAGAAAACTGCAAGGAAAAAACAGGCCATTTTAACTCATGCGCTGCGTCAAAAGCAAAACCACACTGCGGCTTTCACTGTTCCTTCTGCTGAACAGGAAACGCAGCAAAGTGTCCATGAAAGGCTTTCCGTACAGAACTGATAAACTGCTCATAGTCAAGTTGAAGTATTCAAAAATAGAAACAAGCATTTCCTGAAATCCTCATCAGACAAGTTCCCGAAACATATACAACAGAGATTTAACAGAAACAGATATATCACTGGAGCGTCCATGAATCTGTGTGTTCAGCGTTGGCTTTAAGAAACGTCACAGGTTTTTGCTTCTGGAGAAATAGAAGTCGATGCCTCTGTCACGGTGCTGTTTGGGAGTGTGAGATGGGCCTTTCCTTCCCCTTGGGGAAGGCCCTGCACCACTCTGAGGAAAAAAAAGAAAACAAATTTTGTTTGTGATGGTTTAAAGAAGAAACATACTGAGGACGTACTTAAGTGACTGTAGTAATCAAAAGTACGAAAGTAAAAGTCTAAAAGCATTTGTTTGCAGAAATACAGTTTATGTGAGTGGCATATTTTTAAGTATGAAATTATTGGATTGTTAAATGTATTAATGTAGAATTAGCATTTTACTTTAGCAGCTGCTGGCAGTGGAGCTAAATGTGTACAGGTTTAGCTCAGTGATTCCTCATCTAGAAAGGAAGCAAAACTATTTTCTGTGACATAAACTTAGATTAATATGTTTGAATTTCTGTCTAATCTTATTTTTTTTAAAATAAAATGTTGAATAAGTTGACCTGTTGGACTTCAAAAAATTATTTGATTGTGTGCATTTGGAGTTTCAAGGGGAAATGCAAACATAACAAGGAGCTTCAATCGCATCAGCTTTTTGTAAAGTAATTACAAGTAATTTAATATTTAACAATATTTGACAAGTTTGTTGAGAAGTTTAGTTTAAGTTTAAGTAAAGTCTTAAATGGACAAGTAGTAAGTAATTATATATGTAAGATAAATGTAGCAGAGCAAAAAGTGCAATAAAGTATACTTTTTTAACTGTAGTGAAGTCAAAGTATAAAGTTAAACAAAATACATGTGCTCAGGATAAGTACTGGTCCTTCAAAAATGTACTAATACAGCCCTTGAGTACTTACATTCCACCACTTTTGTTTGCAGCCATAATGGATTTTTTAAAAAAAACAGCCATTATGGCAACATCACGCAACCACATTATCCACTTCTCTTTTCTCAAACACCCACCGGTTTCTTGTTAATGTGTCTGCTCCACTCAGGCGCGGTGACGATGGGGGTGGGGTAGGTGTCACCCAGGGACACATGAGCATGTGACAGCGCGGCACTGCTGAGGGTCCAGGGAGTGTGGACGTCAGCTCCTCTGACAGCCTGCAGCTCTGGAACCCACTGCCGAACATAGTCGCCCTGAAGCGGATGCATGATTCATGAATCAATGAGTGAAAACTGATTTATTTATTTTTTCAACCTTCGGACTGGTTTCATCATCATAAAATGACAGCAGCACCATCAGTGTGACTCAGACATTTTGTGTGGTTGTGAAAACAGTTCAACTCAAAGGGAAATGAAACTGTGCTTCTCAAACATACGTTGCCGTCGTAGTCGAGGCCTTGTTTGATCATGTTGAACTTTCTGTTCTCTCTTGGGTCGTTGCCTATACCGGCGCTGTATAGCCAGTTGCCGTAGTTGCTGCACACATCATAGTCGACCTTTAGAGGAAAAAAATTAAAACAATGAAGTTGAGACATCTGTGAGTAGCAGCATCTGGACATAGAAATAAAACGACTGAGCTGCTGAGCTCACTGCTTGTTGTTACCTGTTTAGTGTGTTATTCCACAACATCTCAGCGATGGAATAATTCATTATATAACAGTCCTTGGACCTAAACTACTTACCAGAAGGTATTCAAACCACTCAGCTCCCATCCTCCAGTCAAGGCCCAGATCCTTTGTGAGGAAGCTAGCAACATTTTGTCGCCCTCTGTTGGACATGAAGCCCGTCATCGCCAACTCTCTCATGTTGGCATCAACAAAAGGCACTCCTGTCCGTCCCTCTGCAAGCACCAACGTTACACATACATTCAGCTGCATCAAACAAAGCACATATAGTATTTCAATGCATCCCCCAGAGGCACAGGCAGTTTATTAATAAAGAATATTTTGCACATGATGCAGAAATGCTACAAACCTTTCCATGCATTAAACAGCTTCATGTCCTTTTTCCATGGCACAGATTTGTCTTGAAGCCCTGAATTGAAACCACAAAAGCACAAACTTTGCATTCATTTACTGTAAATATATATAAATACAAAACAGATTAAGTGGGAAACTTGAGCTAACTTTACCTTTGAGCTGAAACAGTCTGTTTCCATACTTGACAGCCACAAACCTGAAGTAGTCCCTCCACAAAAGTTCAAAAATGACCCTGTAGGACAGCAGTGATGAGAAAGAAATGCATTATGTGTCACTGTATGATGATTTGTAACAGAATAAAGTTGATTTCCATTAAAACTGTGTTTTTCCCCCAAATTACTTACACATTTTGGTATATAAAGAGCAACAAGAATGAGTACCACGTAAAAGTACCACGATGTGTACTCACCAGTATGTGCTCTGATTGGCTGTCCGCTTGCTCTCATACTGCTTGATCTGATCATAAATATACCTGGGTGAAATACAACCCATCGCCAGCCTGCAGAGTGCAAAAACACCGCACCATTAGAGATATAATTATAGGAATCCCTTACATGGAATATTAAACTCCACTGAGCATTCAGCGGTAGATAAAATTATACCATCAAACTCACCAAGGTGCAAATTTAGTGGAATAATCCACTCCTATCAAGCCGTTACGAGTCTCTTTATAAGTCGCAACTGCATCCTACAGAACAGAAAACATCCAGTGTGTTTATTAAACCGAAACACAAGATAACACATTACCATAAGATTGTTTTTTTTTTTTCAGTTTTGGAAGCCGCAAGTAATCTTGTACTCACAGTGTCCCAGAAATAGTGTTTGAGTCTGGCCAGAGCGTGACTCTCGCCACCACTGCAAGGGAAGGCTGAGCGAGGATCACTCACTGGCTCTGTAGGAATAAAACAAAGAAACATTTCAGCATCATACATGTTTAACACTCTCCAGTGCACATTAAGACACACAGAATCGTAAAGATTTAATCTCACACATGGAAATGGAGCCAGTCAGCTCCCTTGCTGGCGTTTAATGAGGAAATCTGTACTCAGCAGTTTGCCTATTGAATTCTGAAAACAGTTGAGGAGTGGATTTTCTTAATAGAGTCACTGCATAAAACGA